AGCCGTCACAGAAAAGAAAACCAGCAGTCACAGAAGAGAAAACCAGCGGCCGTCACAGAAAGTCTGAGCTGTGTGGATGAGTAGGCATGACACAAGGTAAGAGGACTTCTTCAAAATCTTTTTAAAAACTAGACTTCAGTCGGGCAGTAGTGGTGCACACCTTTAATCCCAGCACTTGGGAGGCAGAGGCAGGTGGATTTCTGAGTTTGAGGCCAGCCTGGTCTACAGAGTGAGTTCCAGGACAGCCAGGGCTACACAGAGAAACCCTGTCTTGAAAAACTGAAAAGAAAAAAAAAAAAAACACCTAGACTTCAGAAATAGAAAACTAATACCTCACAGGTAAAAGACAAAATACTAGAAAAGTATTTACTAATACCAGGCCTAGGGGTCTAGCTCAGTGACATGGCCTCCCCAGCCTCCCAGGCCTGAGGGTCTAGCTCAGTGACACAGGCCCCCCTAATCTGACAAATTCTAGAATGTTTTCCCAGCACTGAAAGACAAGGTGCAGTGAATCTCACCTTTGTGTAGGTATTGAGGGAAGCATGATGTCCTCCTGACTTCAATTTCATATCAGATTCAGACTCCATACAATGTTTCTGGGAGGGAAACATGTGTAGCAACAGACTTGTAGTAACTATGGGCCTAAGTAGTTGTCTAGTAAATAAGCTTAAATATTGGCAACAGCATGTTGTTGTTCTTTGGGGATAGACGTTCTTACGCACAGCAGTACTGTTTTCTAGAAATGTGGTCTTAATTATAATCACATTGTATTTATAAAGCAGAAACTAGAAACAGGTGTCCAAACAGAGACTAAAAAAAATTATAGCACAAGTAATGGTGAGGTATTATGGGCTATTAAGAGGTAAACATTTCATAAAGAAACAGTGTTTTGCTAGTTAAACAAAGAAGAAAAATCAAGACCAAATGGTACAAAGAGAACGCTCCCAGCTATCTTAAAACAATAAACAAGCTGTGCTGGAGACATAGCTCAGAGATAGAGGACAAAGTTAACCTGCTCAAGGCCCTGGATTCGATTCCTCACAACACACGCACACACACACACACAGATAGAATACATACAACATACATACATACACATACCACACACAACATACACACACACATAGAATACATACAACATATACACACACACATACCATACACAACACAACATATACACACATACCCACACACAACATATACACATATACATATATAACACATACAACATACATATACACACATACCCACACACAAAATATACTCACATACCTGCACACAACATACACGCAAAGCATGCTGGCATACAACACAACATACACAACATATACACACATAACATACACACACAAAAAACATACCCACATACAACACACACAACATATACACACATGTATCCGGAGACAACATGCACACACATACACACAACATACACACACAACATACACACATGTACCTGCACACAACATACACACACATACCCCCCTACACACATACACCCACAACACATAGCATACACACACACACACATCATTGTTGTTAAATAAACAGAAAGAAAAGTCAGATGATTACTTCTAGCTAAAGGATATTTGCTTTTAATTCCTCTTTGTTATGTTTGCGCCATCTGTCACCTTTGAGAGGTCTGGTAATCCTTGTTTTTATAACCAAGAAGATAGGAAGACTGAAGAAAAGGGAGGTTGAAATGAAGAAGCTGTAGCTAACTCCAGAAGCTCTCTAAAGGACCTGATGCCCTATGGACAAGAGGAACCAGACTGTCATAATGTCACAATGTCCATGTGTTCTTAACTTTACACAGGGAAGGATGGCAAATCACAAAAGCTTCCAGGGGTGACACCTACAGACATGGCAGGTCAGCCGGGTCTGGAGGGAGGCTGGCCTGCCAGGTGACAGTCAGCAGAGGTGGAAAATGGAATTGATAGGTGCTTAACCTGAACAGCACAGAACCCATCTTCGAAGTGAAACAGAGGAGGCTGAAGCTGCTGTCTGTGTAGACTAGAGCTTCTGTTCCTCTGCCTGTCTATTCTGGCCTCAGTTTACCAAATTATGTTACTTAGATTGTAACTGAATTCTCAACAGATATTTAAATGCTGGAATTAGGGCTGGAGAGATGGCTCAGTGGTTAAGAGCACTGACTGTTTTTCTAGAGGTCCTGAGTTCAATTCCCAGCAACCACATGGTGGCTCACAACCATCTGTCATGGCATCTGATGCCCTCTTCTGGTGTGTCTGAAAAATAGCAACAGCATAGTCATATAAATAAAATAAATAAATATTTAAAAATAATAAATAAATGCTGGAATTATGGGGAGAAAATTTATCACACGTTATAATAAAAGAAATGTATGAGGTTTGACAGCACGAGAGCAAATTCTAATACAGATGTCCCATGAGAACAGCCACATTCACTGAGTGCTCTCATGCCTGGGGCCCTGTGTCGAACACTGCAGTCTCTCACTCAGGCCTCCCTGTGACCCTGTGAGGTAGACGCCATCATGACACCTGTCTACTCTGAGTGTAATGGTCATGGCAGAGATGAAACAGCCTGCTGAGCTGGTTAGGGAGTGAGGCACGATGTGGAAGCAAGCCACTTCCAAGTCTGGACTATGAAAATAAGTAAAAACACACGGGACATGCTAGCCCACACCTGTAATCCCAGCACTCCCAAGGTAGGTGGATCTCTTAGTTTGATGCCATCCTGGGCAACCTAATGAATTCAGGACAACCTGATGACTTCCGTTTAATTATATGTAAGTAAATTAAAATAACTAAAACTCTCCCTGAATTATTAAAAATGAGTAAGACAGAAGCATGAAGTCTTATTGTATATTATCTTGCCACTGATACTCAAATTAAATGCCATTCCTGTCAGTATTATTTACCTTAACCTTAGGCTGCTGTAACATACAAGTACTAAATGCATGTATGCAATAAATAAGCTACTAGACATCCTGACAGGATGCTGGGAAGGATAGGATCCTGACTCATTCTCTAGTATGATGAAATTACTTGGTTCAAAAGCTCATGATCTGAAGCACAAAGACTATTTCCTAGCGTTCGTTGCAGGTTCTAAATTGCTTTGTAATAGCCTTGCTAAAATATGTAAGTAATCGGGAGGTGCTCAATGACACCTATCATCTCTGCACTTGGGAAGCTGAGACAGGAGGATTGCCATGAGTTCCAGGCTACCCTAGGCTACAGAATAGGACCCTGTCTCAAAGCATACAAGTAAGCAAAATAGGAAAGGGGAGAGAGATCCAGTACGAGTGTGGACAGCAAAGGAGGTGTCCATCCTTCCTTCCACAGCTTCTCTTTAATGGGCTCAATTTTCCAATCAGGAGATTGGCTTGTTTTGTAGATTTTTTTTTATTGTTTGACAATTTCATACGTTTAAATAATGAGTGGATTTTAGCTACTTTCTTCCCTATTTCCCTCTGTCATCACCCTCCCTCCTCCGCCGAAGCCCTCTCATGTTTTCATTTTGTGTGTGACCCACTGAGGTTAACCAGTTACTCGCCCTACCGGGGACAAGACACAGGTGCAGGTGCCTCTTCCTTCACTGCTGAAAAAGCCATAGCCAAGAGCTGCAGCGTGGTAGACATCAAGGGCAAGGGAAGGTCCATAATGCCACCATAAAGGTCAAGCAGTGTGTCACTGGGATGCAAACGGGCAAGGACAAATGCTCCAGGCTGTCTG